TCAACAAAATATTTAAAGAGATATATATAAGCATGAAAATATCATGCCCTATATACCAGAATTTTTAATATCAGCTTCAAAGCTACAATAATTATCAACATAGGTGCTCTTTTTGACTCAAACGATGGCTTAAAGGGTAGTCTAATTTAGTAGACTTGGAGAGATTATGTCAAATTCCCCTTTTAATATACACAATTGTTTATTATTGTTATGCCACTGCAGCTTATCAGCACGCCCTACTTTTTTAACAAAAGTGCATTTTTATTCTAAAAAATGTTATACTACTATTATCTCTATATTATAATGTATCATATTTCATTATGAAAAGGATTAAGTCTGCAGGCCAATCGTATCCACGAAAAAATTACCATACTTCAACTATAGATTCAACAATAAAATACCTTAATGACAACTGCAATGTATATTCCAATGGCATAGCTTCTTTGAGATACTCCAACGAAGATTTATATTTCAATTTAAATAATTCTTTTCTTGAATTTTTAGTTAGAATTTGATGATTGGAACCGATCATCTTTCAAATAGTTTATTGTTGAAAAATATATTATCTTTTTTCTACTCATATATATTTCAGCCGTTGAAACATATCTACAATTTTATGCCAAAATTAAATGAAATACGCATTCGAACGCAATATTTTCATTGAAATTTATGTTATAAATTTCCAACACAATAACAACATTGAAATATCAATGAAAATTCAAAATTATTGTTTGAATTTTATTGGAACACATTTGTATTGAAATATATACTAGTACTAATACCCATGTACAACATGGGTGTTGAGTTAATGAATATATGTGTAAAGTTATTTATGTCTAATACCAAACCTAATTCTAAAGCAAAAATAATATAAAAACAACATCACGAAGCATAGATTTTTGCCATGTCAGCATCCGAAGCGTGAAAATGTGACACTTAAGCTCAACACGTTTTGAATTAATATATAAAGAGGGATTATATATATATATATATATATATATATTTTTATTTATTTATTTATTTTTGCAATAAGTATTGCTATTTGAACTGTAAAAATAAAAATATTTTTTTAATAAAATTATATATTTCTATTCAATTCAAAAATCATAACAGGTCGACCACGCCTTACGATTACACTGCCTCTCCTCATTTTCTTTAGATGGACAAAGAATAAAAAAAAAAAATGATACCAATTTTTAAGTCAACGATACATTTCATTAGCATTGATATGCTACATAATCAACACTCAGAAAGAAAAATCGTCTCAAATGTGCATCATAAATTCAATTGTGCATGATGCATTATTGCCACCAAAGTCATTCTAAGGATTTTTTTTTTTTCGGTACAATAAGGGGGCTAAGCGCCAAAGCATATAGGTAGAAGAAGAAGTCAGGACACGGCGCGGGTCAGACATCCCGATAATATCATGGTTCGGCCAAGCTCCTAAACCAGTAGGAGGAAACTCCAAACGATGTGATGGGGAAATATCAAACAACGAAGATAAATAATAAATTATCAATAGTATGATGATATGTGATAAATCTTTATTTTTGTACAAGCTTAAAAACTTTTTTTTAGGATATAACAAGTTTTCTAATTCATAAGATATATAGAGTAGGGTTGATTAATAAACTGATTTAATTATTTCATGATAATTTTATTATTTTTCAATTAAGAATGATGAATTATTAATTGTGCATTATAGATAAAGCCAAATGTTTTTGGGTGATCTTCGGGGAATCGGATATGTAATAGCGATCGTGATGATCTTTGAAGACTTAGGATTGCTTAGGCTGGCTTGCCTTAGTTTTTGCTTAGGTTTTTTGAGGTTTTGCTTGCCTTATTTCTGGGGCCTGAGGGCCGGTATTTATACGCGAAAAAAGAGGTCGATGTATTGAATGAGTACTACTACCTAGAGGCATATGGTAGCTAGAATTGTAAATTTATCACGTTTTAACCTCCACTTTTTTAATTTATAATTATTATTTAATATTGTTTATTCACTCATTAATTTATAATTATTATTTAATATAATTAACTGTGCATTGCACGAGCAACATACTAGCATTCTAAAAAAAATAAAGACAATTGATCAATTTTGGAAAAGACAATGGGATATGGGTCTGGGCCTAAGAAATAATATAAGTTTTCACTTTGTAAAGATTTTCGGTTCGCTTCGGTAAAATCGAAATATATATTTTCTAATTCTAAAACTGAACCGAAATGGTTTCGGTCACAAATTTTCGGTTACCACAAAAATCGAATTTGTTCAATCCGATTTTTTTTTTTTTTTTTTTAACGTCAATACGGTTCAATTCGGTTTGATTTGTCGGTTTTCTGAGTCAAAAATGTCACCCTTAGATGGAATGACCACACTAGCCTGGAACATGAACAAACAAAACACACAGAACGTAATTATTCGTAATGTACGAGTCAATATTAACTTGGATGTAAATGTAATAGTTAATTATTTGTGATTTAATAAATTACTCAATGACTTACATATTAATATTAATATAGACGTAACAAAATAGTCTATTATCTATAGATTAATAAATTAGTGAACTAAAATAATTGTTTTGGTTTGAATAGTTTATACAAAAACAAATTTATTTTAATTAATGAAACAAAATAATTCTTATATTTATATTTATTCTTCACATAAGTTGTTGAATATATTATTAAATTTTATCAAAATAATTATTTTATGTAATCACATTATAGTCAAATCCAATTTCTGAATAGAAATTTTGAAATGACACTTATTTTGAAACGGATATAATATAATTTATTATCAGTTATGTGCACGCACGGGTTGCGTACTAATTTTAGTTAGACATTTTTATATGTAATTTTGCACAATTTAGACTTTATACAACATTTTAAATAAATTAATTTATGTAAATTGTATTACATGTTGATTTTATATTTTTAATTTATAATATAAATATTATTTAATAAAAAAAAATATTTATAAATATTAATGAATATCTGTTACGTGCACTTCACATGAATTATGAATATTAATGAATATCAGTGAATGAAGGACTAGGGTAGTAAGATATGCATTTCGAAAGTGAGTCATTTTTGTGCCTCTTGTCCAATGGAAGATAAAAGCGGTTTCCTTGTCTTGTCATTCACGTATGCTTAAGAGAGTTTAAATGTAAATTAGTGGTAAGGATAGTAACAGCATATGAACAAACTGTGAGGAATTGTTCATATAGTCAATTATTTTACCGTTTAACTTGTACAATTCTTGAATAGTTGATGTTGCCTTTTTTCTTGGTTCTGTATACATTAAGGCTATGTTTGGTAACTAAATAAGCTAGCTTATAGGATATTTGGTTAGCACTTAGTTTATGAGCTTCTGTATTCAAATAAGCTTTGTTTGGTAGGATGAGTTTTTTTAAAAGCTCGAGCTTATCTCATAATCTTCTTTGGGTAGTTTTTTAAATAAGTACATTGATTTTTTTTTTTTTCATATCAGCTTTGCTCTTGTGCGGCCCCTTAGCAATGAGAATGAGCTTCAAAGACTCGATAAGATTCCGGTCATTAAAATTTCTATTGAAGTTTGTGTTGAGTTACTCGTACTAAAATTTTTTTACCTCTTCTTGGACCATAATGATTTTTGTTTCATGAAGCTGAACCAGTTAAGGCCTGAATTTAGATATCTGGTTTAGAGTCTTTGATAAATTTCGTTTACGAGAGGACGAGGCCCAGGCAGATGGGACGATCAGAGGAAGTAAGTGTTTGCCTCGTGCAGTTTTTCATATTTTTGCTTTGTCGTTTACCTATTTCAGTGGGTTTTGATAGGCTGCGGTAAGAGAAGCACATGAAGATGCAGTTCAGAAATCAATGGTTGCATTTTAATGATACTGCTGTGGGTGTTGGTACGAGTAGGCAAAAGTATGAAAAGCGTCTTCAGGACCAGATAAGCTGTTGTCCAACTATGAAGCTAAATGTCATGGACCAGATAAATGGCCAAAAGTATTATTATTATTCCTTAGGCAGAGGTTTGTGCCTGAAAAAACTCACCATTCATTGCATATATATTGCTCTTATGCAAAAACTGTGTCCGATGGCCCAAATGGTAGTTTTGCTGGTCAGGAATGTCCCAACTTTTTTTTTTTTCTTTTTTTT